GTTTTGAATGAATACAAGAATCTACTCTTAGGCAGTAGAAGTAGTAGAAATATTAAGGTTGTCATCATAGCAACGAAATAAAATCACATTACAATATTTAATAATAAACTTACACTATATAATAAATAAAATGTTATCTCAAGTGCAATATTTGTTTACACTTTGCTGTATGGAGGCTTTTCAATAGAAGTGCACAAAACTCTGAAAACCCAATTTTATGTAACTTTTTAGGTAAAACATTTTTGGATTAGAAATCACGACCACTTTACATAGCAAAATCTTGGGATATTTTCTTTTGGAGTTTCAATAATAATAGCAAATCCAAGCATCATCTTTAAAGTTTCATGCGTTCTTATTGAAAAACAAGGCCCTGTATTATCAGCAAATTTGAAATGCTCCCAGACAACGTCATGAGTATTTCTTGATGCTATAGCTAATAAATAATCCATCTATTTGACGATTAAAACCTTTGACATTCTTTCTTTGTATAAACATAGGGTTCAATAGTATCAATCGATCAAGTTAAATAGAGAGTTTGGACATTGAATCTTCTTTATTGGTTGCTGAGATAGCCAACAAAAGGTGATGTTTAAAAGTCTTGATGAAACACAAGTTTGAAGTCGATTACATACTTGACTCAAGAATTGAATAATTGGAAAAGATGTTACAAATTTTGTGCAACAACGTTCGGGAGTAACAGAAGCATTATCCAAGTTAATGCTCACAATTAGATGAAACAGAAGTTAGTAGTTATGATGATGTGATTACTATTGTTGTCAATTAATATTCTAAATTGAAAAAATATCCACAAAACAACCATAAGCACGCAGAACATTGTCATTCTATTAATCTGTTGATGGAAACCTATTATTATTTTAATTGGAGGATAAAGCATTGGTTTGATCAAATTTGTCTTATTTTGTTTGCTTGTATATTCTCTCCTAACAAAGATTGATATGCTGCATCCTTTTTATTAATAATGCTCCAGAAAGATTATATCAACATTAGACAAAGAACATGCAAATGATGTTTACGTGAACAACTGTCTGCCTACCTGAATGGCGTTCAAAACACCCCGTAACCCGTTCTTTTAATTGAAAGTCCATTTCATAGGTCCTTCCCAAGACAAAGGACGTAGAAATTGAAAAATTTTGATCAATTAATATTAATAAAAATATTGTTTCAGTAAGTGTTAGTACGAGTATTAGTATTTAGGATCGATCTTTTTTTAGAAGTAGGTTTCTTTTTGAATAAAACAAATAATTCGAATAAAACGAATCAACGAACTAAGAATAGAACGAATAAAACGAATAAATTTTTATTCAAATGATTAATCAAATCAAGCTTGAGCTGTATTACAAATAATTCGTATTGATATTATTATTTTATATTTTGAATGATCCAAAAAAAAAGACTGATTAATCGACTAACAAATTTTTGACCGATTCCAATCTCTGCCACAAATCACCAAGTCAACAGCGACGCCATTTATTGGCTTATCCACCGTGATTTTCATGGTTTTAACAAGACTAAGTCTTCAGAAATTGGCTTGTCACTCGTTGATTGGGAATTACTTGGTGGTTTTTACAATTAAATCTTCATCAAAATGGTAACGGTTGTGTTGACCCTATGAATGGAAGAGGACGAGGCAAAGCTTACATTCATTGATACCGTACATACGATAATTTATTATTGACGCATATACTAACCAATCGATTATAGGCTTAGTATTTTTTCTAAAAAAAAGGACTCATAATCGGGACAACGTTAGTTGTGAACATGTATGTATTCTATGTTGTAAAATCAATAGCCAGGCGGAATTAAAACACTTACCCAAGGACCAATATATTCCGCTATAACACACCTGAACCAACGAAAGAATTTCTTGCAGACTCTTCTTCGTAAACAGCATCAATGATGATACAAATGACGAGTCACTTGGTATGATTGACCAATATGTACTGACGGGCATGATTGGAGTTGTAAAATTAGATATTTTATTAACTGAAAGAAATCCTATAGAAGGTATAGAAGAACACTTCAATTTAGAATATTAATTGACAACAATAGTAATCACATCATCATAACTACTAACTTCTGTTTCATCTAATTGTGAGCATTAACTTGGATAATGCTTCTGTTACTCCCGAACGTTGTTGCACAAAATTTGTAACATCTTTTCCAATTATTCAATTCTTGAGTCAAGTATGTAATCGACTTCAAACTTGTGTTTCATCAAGACTTTTAAACATCACCTTTTGTTGGCTATCTCAGCAACCAATAAAGAAGATTCAATGTCCAAACTCTCTATTTAACTTGATCGATTGATACTATTGAACCCTATGTTTATACAAAGAAAGAATGTCAAAGGTTTTAATCGTCAAATAGATGGATTATTTATTAGCTATAGCATCAAGAAATACTCATGACGTTGTCTGGGAGCATTTCAAATTTGCTGATAATACAGGGCCTTGTTTTTCAATAAGAACGCATGAAACTTTAAAGATGATGCTTGGATTTGCTATTATTATTGAAACTCCAAAAGAAAATATCCCAAGATTTTGCTATGTAAAGTGGTCGTGATTTCTAATCCAAAAATGTTTTACCTAAAAAGTTACATAAAATTGGGTTTTCAGAGTTTTGTGCACTTCTATTGAAAAGCCTCCATACAGCAAAGTGTAAACAAATATTGCACTTGAGATAACATTTTATTTATTATATAGTGTAAGTTTATTATTAAATATTGTAATGTGATTTTATTTCGTTGCTATGATGACAACCTTAATATTTCTACTACTTCTACTGCCTAAGAGTAGATTCTTGTATTCATTCAAAACTGAACTTTATTCCCACCAAAATTTTTCTTGTATACATTTTATTTTCCCATTCGAGTGGTATAGTTCGTGTAGGTTAACATTAACATATAGTAGAATATCAACATACACTAGCTGGACAAAAAGTATTTGATCACGTATTTACACTAATTAATAAAAAACCTACATGACAACATTACACGAAATTTATAACATTATGCGCCTAGGTTTTGATAATTATATATTCAAAATTTCATGTTGCTAGCTTCCAAATATTAAGATTAATAAAAAAAACTAAAACCCAAATAAAAAATTTAAACATTTTGCTATATTTTCACATTTTTTAAAAAATTTACATAATAAAAAATTGTAAATTTTATATAAATGAGGGACATTGTTTTGAAGAATAAATATATGAATTTCATATTAATATCGTGTCTAGAAAATTGATGATTAAAAAAAAATAGTGATAACATCTGAATCGCAGTCAACGAAAAATTAATAAATAATTTCAATTTTGGGTGATCATGAAAAAAAACCATTTTTATTAAATTTGATACATGCATGAATATGAGAGCTAGCAACGTGAAATTTCGAATATATAATTATCAAAATCTAGGCACATAATGTTATAAATTTTGTGTAATGTTGTTGTTATGTAGGGTTTTTACTAATTAGTGTAAATACGTGATCAAATACTTTTGTCCAGCTAGTGTAGGTTTTTATGAAATACTGTACAAAGTATTGTTAAGAATATCATCAGTAAAAAAAAATTGTTTTACTAAAAAAAAAGATTTGTTTACTATGTAGTGATTTAATCTACTTTTTGCATCGTACTATACTAAAATAAATTGATCAGCACTAATGCAAATTCACGATTTTGATTGGTTGATCAACAACTGCGTGGGTTAAAAATCTAAATGATTGAATCAATTGAATCATGTATTTTTTTACTATTGTGATGCTATGAAACACTCGGTGCGGTGGTATTTTTATTTTTCGACCATCTTGTATAACGTTGTGTAATGATAAAATGATAATTGATTTCATGGTTTGAATGTGCTCACCGTCTGTAAACTTGATTGCTTGAAGATGGACAGGGGTGTGGAAATGGCCTGAGAGGAATTTCTCTATATACGAAAAAAAAAAATGAAAAAAAAATGTGGGGATGGCCATCCTATTTGTATTTTTTTGAATTAATAAAATAGACTATTGTCATTGTCTTGACCTGAGTGATGTCGTTGTGTGAGTAAAAGGCACGAAGCTCACTGTCACGTTTTCGTTTAAAAACTTGTTATTCTTATTATTATTAATTAATCTGTAACACATTAATATTTATTTGATTTATTTAACTATATTTAGTAGAAATTCATCATGATGAACCCAAATGGGCATGCAAACCCATATGGACTTATAATTAATTGACATGTATATAAAGAACTTGAATTTGACCTACTGTAAAAGTAACTTGATAACAAGTTAATTAGTTTTGACTAAATAAAACTAAATAAATAAAATAGTAATATTTTATTTAAATAAACTTTTATCTTCTTTAACCAAAACTATTCACTAATACCAAAATCAATTCATTGATCCCTATTCATTCTGATCCACACAAAAACAAAAATAATTGTTATCACCAATTAAAATATGCTCTCCCAAATTTAATCAGTGATAATAGCTTCAAATTATAATCATAAAATTACCATAATAATTTTTGAATATACTGATGAATTGTTTGAGTTATCAACCTGTCACCCATTTATTGGGAAACTTGTTATTAAAATTATAAGCTAATAAATAGTATCATGAAATACACTCACTAGACAAAAGTCGGGCGCATTTTTAAACAAAAATTGCGCAAAAATGCACACAATAAAAACAAATAACTTATATCATTTTGTAGCCTAGGTTCTCAAAATTTTGCATGCAAAATTTAAAACTTTTATTATGCCTAA